TATCAAAGATCTCAAAAAACTGCCAGAAAACTTTTAGATGTGATAAACAAATTCAGTACACTGGCAGGATATAAAATCAATACACAAAAAATTAGTAGTTTTACTGTGACCAGTAATGAGCTCTGTTATGGATTAAGAACTTGTGGTCAACGCCAGCTGGATTATATAACCATGGTGCTGAGCTTAGATGTTCCACCTGAATAAATTTACCAGCATAAATAGAGATGTGGGAGAAGAAGAAGCTATTACATTGAGGCGCTGAGGTACTGTGGGTTCTCCTACAAGTTGCTGTCTGAGCTGTTGGTTCTCCTGGAGAAGCTCTGGTCCTCACATCGAGCATCGCTTCCTGGCTCCAGAGGGGAAGACGTGTGCCAATTGGTCTCCAGGATGAACTTGTCATGCTGGCTTCCTGGCATGTTCTCCACTGTGCTTGCTAGAGGAGGAGCCCAGGGCCTCCACGTCACTGAGGATGTCTGTGGTGCTTTCAGGGAAGTCCTGGTCTTTGTTGTGAGTATGATTTCTTGGCTCCAGTGTAGGACCCTCATCCACCAGCACAGCTCCTTCACCCTGCCGACATAGACTCTCTGGCTTCCACCGCTGACCTCTGGGCCTTCCCAGCACAGATTCATAAAAGAGATTGGCGTGAGTCCTTCTTGTGGGCTCTGGTCCGCCAGTTGGACTCGTGGGAGACACTGTCATTAACTCTTGGTCTTCATCTGGACTCGCGTGGGACACTGCTGTGGGATTTAGGCCTTCACTAAATATTCTATGTCTTTGGTGTTTGTGGATAGATTTCCTGCATTTCTTTGTGTTAACTCCTGGTGTCCAGCATAAAAAATAATATTATAAAATCCATGTCCTGATTCTAATTGTTCTCTGCACAAACTTGACTACAACAAGCTTACTGAAAAAGAGATCATGAAAACAATTTCATTCATAATAGCTTCTTCAAAAAAATTAAATATATAGGAATTAATCTAATTGAAGAGGGAAAGCACTCTAAAGTGAAAATGACAGAACACTAAAGAAAGATATTGAAGATGACCTTAGAAAATGGAGCTTCTTCATTTATTCGTGGATTGGAAAAATAGTATTCAAATGGCCACCTTAGGAGAAATGGTCTACATATTTGGTGCATTTCCTATTCTACAAAAATACTCTTTACAGAGATAAACAATAGCCTAAAATTCATATGAAATCAGAAAAAAATAGCCAGGTTAGAGTCAGGGTAAAGAGCAGTGCTGAGGCTGACAATGCCAGAGCCAGATTACTCCGAAGCCACAGTAATAAAAACAATGTGGCATTCACACACACACACACACACACACACACACACACACACACACACACACAGCAGACCAATCAGTAGAACAGAAGATATAAAATCAACCCTGTGCACCTATAGCTATCTGGTTTTTGACAAAGGGAAAAAATATAATACACTGGATAAAAGACAGACTCTTAAATAAATGGCGCTGGGAAAGCTAGAGAGCTACATACAGAAAATTGAAACTAGATCCATATCTCTGCGTAGGGAAATTAAACAAAAATGTATTAAACACTTAGATATAAAACCAGGAACTTTGATGCTGCTGGAAGACAACAATGTGGGAAACACCTGAAGGCACAGGCTCAGGTAATGACTTCCTGAATAGGAGTGTAATACACAGGAAACAGCATCAAGAATCAACACACTGGATTACATCAGATTTAAAAGCCTCTTCACAACCAAGGAAACAACAGAGTGAAGTGCAACCTACAGAATGGGAAAAATTCCTTGCTAGGTGTTCTTCTGATGGAGGATCAATACCTAGAATATATAAAGAACAACAACAAAAATAGTTCTCCTGAGTCACTCAAACAAAAAATGGGCAAATGGACTGAAGACACACATCTGAGAAGTAGAAATGCCCAATAAATATAAAAAAGTATTCAATCAATTTAGCTATTAGAAAATACAAATGAAAACCACATTGAGATTTCATCTCACCCCAGCCACAATGGTTTTGCCAAGTGTAAAAAATAATGTAAACCAGTGAGAAATGGGTGAAAAAAGGACGTTCCCCATATTACTGGTGGAATTGTAAACCAATACAATGACTACAGAAAGCAATATTGAGTTTCCTCAAAAATCTAAAAATAGAAATACCATTTGATTCAACTATATCATTGCTAAGTACATTTCTGACACAGCATAATATGGTATCACATGTATACTCACGTTTATAGCAATGTGATCCACAGTAACTAAATTGGAACCAGCCTAGATTCCCATAAAGGAATGTATACCAAAAATGCAGTACATCTCCAGAAGTATTATTCAGCCAGAAAGAAGAGTGAGACCATGTTATCTTCAGGAAAATTGATGGAACTGGGAAACGTTATGTTAAGCAAAATAAGCCCGACTCAGAAAGTTAAATATCGTATTTTTCTCTTATATGGGAAACCCAAAATACAAGTAAATCAATGAATAAAATAAAAGACAGATGAGAGAAAATGGGAAGGTAGATTCTTAGAAATTGGGAAGAGAATCAGCGAGGGACTAGGGAAAGGAAAACAAAGTAAACATGACTGAAAGTGATCAAGTTATGAATATACCACGTTCCCCAAACGAACACTGCTATTCTTATTAACGCACACTAAAAAGAAAACAAAGACAGAAACCTTACTATGCTGTAAAGCTTACTTCAAATGACGGCTCAACAAAGCCTTTCTTGATTGCTTCTCCACAGATCGAAAGTAAATCTCTTTCTGCTAATAACTCTTACCAAACTTTGCCCTATGCTGTAATTTCTCTGGCTTCCCTTCTCTGATTTGACTTCAAGTTCTTTGTCTCCTCTAGCTTGCATCTTGCCATGTGATCCTTAACATACTACTCCGCATAGTAAGTTACAAAAATAGCCATTTTATCACTTGGAAACAAAGCTTCTTTCATGCAAGTGCTTACAATTGCAAATGAGACTCAAATAAACTAAAGAGACCAAATGTAATAACTGCCAGAAAAAACATTCGTTGCATTATTAAATGCCCAAATACTACTTTACAAACACAGGAGGAAAAATCTCTATAACTGACAAATTGACACAGACGCAGAACTTTCACATTTGACAGCCACAGAAACTACTACCATCGCGTCTCTCGCGAAGGGAACGAAATTCAGGAACTGCCTGTGATACACATGAAACTGTCACCATCCTTACACGGCAGAGAGTTTATGTGGCTAAGCACTCCTTGAGAATTGAGTGCCTGCCGCGGACATGGGACATGTGCATGCTTTAGTGCCCTGCTCACAGGCAAACTTCCCTAGCTAAGGGATTCAATTTGAGAGAAGGCATTTAAATTAAACTGGTGGCTCCACCTGGTGATCCACCTGGGAAGCCTTTAAAAGCCCTGCCACCCACATCACATCCTCTATCAATTAAGTCAGAATCTGTGAAGAGAGAAGCCAGATGATGGTAGTTTGTAAAGATTCCCCCAGGTGATTCCAGTGAGTAACAAAGTCTGCGAACTGTGTAGCATAGGCTTCATTTTCTCTCTACGGCTGAAAGAGGTTCTTGTCATTTTCCAATGTGACCACTAGATGTCGCTACTGACTGAGGTACTGGAAGACAAGCTCCAAGGCACTTTGCCTGAATAGGAAGCAGAGAATTTTGTGTTAATTGATTTTCGTAGAAAAATACTCTGGAAGAGAGAATTTGAATACAGACTCATGAAATACCCTGCTGAATTAAGTTTAAGTAGTGAGCCTGTTTTCAACCATTTGTTATCTTTAGAGTCCACTCCTTTATCTAGGTACCTTAGTAAAGCAGGATTGCTTTGGAGGTCAAAACACACAGGGAAAGACAGATCTGCAGGTGGAGATCCTTGAATTTTGGGGGGGACTTTACGCTCTGTTCCCTCTGTCAATTTGCTTTTCCTGCTTGCAAAGCACATCCTGCTGTCTGTATGTCCTGTCTCCTTGTTGATCTCTCCATGGCTCTTGTGGTCAGAGCAGGATCTGTTCAGGCTCCCAGGAGCACAGAGAATGAATATTCTACAAACTTTCCTACAACACATGGAAGAATGCTTAGAGAAAAAATACTCTGCAACTTAGCTTTGATGGTGGGAAGGATATGAGAAAAGTGGGTTATTTTCAAACAGCTTCTGATGAAACTGGATTCGATTTGGGGACCTAACAAGGAAATTCCTATACGATGTCACTTTTAGGAATAGAAATTTATGGCTTCATCAACACTTGAGAGCTGGAGAAGATGTTGAAGTGACACAGTGGGAGGCTGTGGTTGCAGTGTTAGTGTCAAGACTGAGCAGTGGGCTGCACCTGCAGTGAAGCCATTGATCAGTACTTCAAAGGAAGACGATTTTATCAAGCAGCGCGACAAAATGAAAGACAGTAAGGAATACCCAGGTGCTTCTTGTTATTGGTGTTGATTCATGCTTCTTCTCATTGGTGGAAAGTCATCCTAAAGGATCAGGTCATATCATCTTATCCAGCCTGGGTATCCTTGGTTATTTCCAACATAATATTATTTAATATTTTCTTTAATAAGAGTAATAATTGTAAACTTTCAGATACCTTTACATTCTCCTGCATGGCTTGTAACCTGTTCAATGAGCTTTTTAATGATTTTTCAAGAAAATGGTGCGCTTCACAGACTTCTGGGGACCAGCAAAACAATTTTTTTGTCTTCTGATGCTACAGTTTGTCATTAAGCTCAATACTGATTATCATTTGCTACATTTGTTTCAACTCAGATAAAAACTGCCTTCACAGCCCCTACAGTGTCCCTCAGATTCCCACGACAAAAGATCCATGTGTAATTGCTAAGTCAGCATTATCAGCAAATGTTGCTTTTGATTAGAAAACAGTACCAGAAGGGACTGTCAAAATATTATCTCGATCGCTTAGGACCCTGCAAGGATACAGGACAAGCAATGGCTTTTCCCGATAGGTTAGTTCATGGGCAGGTCTAACCGGCTCCCCTGAGAAGTGAGGGACTCACCAGCTCTCTGTAGAGTGGGTCCAAGGTAAACCACAGAGCCACAGCACAGCGCTGGCCTTTGGTGACTGCCTTCACCCCATGCGGGTTCTCCCCTCCAGATGAGAAGCTGATCATACGCCCACACTTTGGTTTGATAGAGGCCTGAGAAAGAAAGCGAAAATTAGACTTTTGATTCTTATAACAGGACCATTTCCCTCTGTGAAACTGTTTGGGCTATGGCTTAATCAAAGAACAACAGAATCCTAGGATTAAAGAAGGAATGATATGTCTCGGCTTTCTCATCTTTAAAACAAAGGTGCAGTCAACATACTTACATCATGAAATGATGTCTTTGTCGTGTGGGGGTTTGAATCTAGGGCCTTTGTACTCAGCTGTATTCTCAATCCCTTGGTTTTTTTTTTGTTTTGTTTTGTTTTGTTTTGTTTTGTTTTTTGATGCAGAATCTAAGTTGCTGAATTGCCCAGGCTGGGCTTAAAGCTACCACGCTCCTGTCTCAGCCCCACAAAGTGCTGGGATTATTAACATAGGCCGCAAATTCCCAAAAAGGCAAAATATTCTTCTCATTCATCTACATGGCTTTAGCATGAGCAAAGCACCCATGTGAAGGTAGGTGTATGTTTGGTATCTATGGCATCAACCAGGAAATGAAGGGGACATGGGGGAGCCAAAAGAGTTTCTTACTAGTCTAGGTCATGGTTCCATGAGTGCCCCACTTCCAATTATCTAATCACACATTTATGTTCTCTTTATTTCTCACAAGCCAAAACTTTTCAAAGCCAAGTCGAGTTGCACACAGCACGGAATTTCCTTCCAGTACTCCTGGCCCTGCAGGCACTGCTGGTTTCTCCCCACTGCGGGCAGCACACTGCCCTGCGGCTGCGAGGCCACAGCCTCCGGGTACATTGGGATGATGGACGGGATACTTCGGAGCCTCTCTGCAGTGCTTGGGCTGGCGGATGCCCCGTGTGGAGGCAGCAGAGCGGAAGGAGGGAAAAGCAGACATTGCTGGGAGCAGCGACACGCGGACAGGGGCAACAAGCAGATCCTTCCCGTTGGGTGAGCTTAAACAACTGAAAATCAGGGTCTTAGTTCTGTGTTAAAGACGCATCTGATGTGAGTGGAGAACGCTTCCTATTGGGAAACCCTGACACCTCGTTGTTCCTACAGTAGAATTTAAAGGAAAGCAAAGGTGCTGGTAGTATAGTCATTTTACTGACAAGAGGGGCTGCTTCTGCACTGACTCTAAGCAGTACGATGCTTATTAGAATGTTTTCATTCTGCATAAAATTAGAAGAACATCTCAACATTTTTTGAAGTCCATGCATGATACATAACATGAATACTCCCAGACTGTGCCATGGTGTATGAAGATCAGAGGGAAGTGGAGGAGTCAAAAAGCCAGTCTTGAGTGTGTGCATGTGCTTATTATGTGTGTGGGTGTATTTGTGTGCCTGTGTGTGTTTGTGCACATGCATGTATCGTGTGCACAGCTATTAAGGAGAAGAACAGAAAGGAGCAGTCAATTTCTAGTTTTTCACCCACTCACAATAATTGAAGAATGCTTTGAGGTTTTTTTTCCCAGAATAGCGTTTCCTAGGTTTCTCAAGGTGACTTTGCCATTGATAATCAAGAGTTCACTAGCTAGTGATGTCTTCAGAATCAATCTGATTCCAAGAATTTCCTGTGCGTTTCCACACCAAAATAGCACAATGCATGATGTGTGAGGCCTGTGGCCCGTGACAGAAAAGACTACTTAATAAGTGGTCTGTGCGCTGAGGTCCCTGGAACATGCATTTCCTGGTGGTCTTTGCTTCTATGTGATTGGCAGGTCTTGGTAGCAATGGGTCTGTCTTACTTTTCTCTCTCATTGTTGAAATAAAATACCTGATGCCCAAAATTAGGGAGGGGAAAATTTATTTCTTACAGGTTGGAGGTTACAGCCCATACTCAGTTGGCTCCAATGCAAAGTGACATGGCTGAGGCACAATAGTTCAGGGAGGCTACCAACAACAAGCATGAACAATGAACAAGGAGGACATGCCTTCTTCCCGCCATTACACTGTATGCTGGCTCTACCCCTGGGTGGGTGTAGCACTCATACAACCAATCCGAGTTCTAGACAACGAACCAATCACAAACACTAGACTCGCCAACATCGATGATTGCATGATCCTTGGTGGGGGGCCATTTTAACATAAACCATAACAGTTATATTAAAGAATGGGAATAGAACCAACTTAGCATTTTTTCTCTGTTGCAATCAGAAGTGTGAAGAAGTTTGGGAAAGTTTAGAAAACAAGCCATCAACTGCCTGATGCAGACCATACTGACTATAGGTGTGTGGCCACACAGGAATCACAAAGACAGATCTCATCGCATAGGGAGCTTTGGCCTGTCACATGTCAGCACATGGCAGAGTCAACACGCTTTAATGAACCTGTCTCCCTTGATAACACGTCTTCTAAAGGAAGATACGTTCTCACATTTAGATAAATGCCATGTTTCCCTGAAAATAATCAGGCTTGAGAGCTAGAGATCAAAAATACCAGGCCCAATTGGCCTCTCCTTGCCTTACATGCCATCCCAGAGTAGCCTACTGAACAAAAGAATAGTGAGGGACAATCTTCTGCATGACACTGCTGTCACCATGGTAATGAACAGATAAATCTCATTTTCCAGGTAGATCTTATTTTGGGGGAAGGCAGTGATTGAAAATGTACTTTTGTAACAGAGCTCCATTCACATCAAATTTACCTTTTCTCATGAAATAAATGGAACTCTTCAAATCCAGTCTCCTTCAATCTTGCAAAGTAAACCCCAGAACACTTAATTCCTCTCTTACTAATTAATACTTCTACTGGAAAGAACTTATTATCTTCCAAGTATACTATCTTCAAAATATGAGTTTTAAAAAACTCTTTTTGTTTTCTGTTTGCTCTGGTTTAGATCTAAAACATCCCTCGCCTCTCAGGAGTACAAAGGTAGGGCTTTTGGGAGGTGACTGGGTTGTGGATGTGTGTTCCTCACTGGTGAAGGAATCCACTGATGAGTTCATGGCTGAATGTGCTGACAGCAGGTGGGGCCCAGTTGGCTGTGGTGGGTTCCCGGGGCAGGCACCCCCAGCACTGTGATCTCACCCCTGGTCCTTTCCTTCTCATATCTCTTCCTGGTGTCCGTGAGTGAAGCAGCTTTTCTCCACTTTGGTCTCTGTCATGATGTTTCTGACGTAGAGACAGCAGACCATGTCCTAACTAATCTAAAAGCATGAACCAAAATAAACCTCTATTCCTTTAAATTATGTGTCAGGGATTTTCTCCTATCAATGGAAAAGCTGAATAATACTCTATCTAAATGATGGTGAGGGAGAGAAGCATTTATGATGTACTGGTCCGTAGTAAATTTAAGCATTTATCCACCAGTCCATTAATTACATGATGTTTGCATTTTATGCAAAATATGAGGCTTGTATTGGTTCAAGTTAGAAAATACAGTCTTGCCTTGTTCTCTTTTCTGTAATTATTAAGAGAAACCAAAACAGAAAATAGGCCATTTTACTTTGCCATAAAAATCAGAATACATTTATTATGGGAAAGGAGAAAAGAACTAGTCTATAATTCTAAATTCTATAATTTTGAGAATTTCTAGAATTAACTAAGAATTCTAATTGCATTTGGTATACCCTAAGATCTTAGCCATATACTTTAATATAAAGCATTTTGAGAATTTCTAGAATTCTTAACTAAGAATTCTAATTGTATTTGGAATACCTTAAGACTTTGGCAATGTGCTTTAATATAAAGCATTACTGAACCTTTAAATTACAAATTTAAGTCAGTTTTTTCACTTACTTTTTTAAAGGGAGGTCAGACTCAATGCTTTTTAAAATAGCTACATTATTTCTTAAAATTATGGCTCTCCAAAAGGAGAATATTTATTGCTTTCACATGTTTATAAACAGAGGTCCAGTTAGCTGAACTTAAAGTGATTAGTATTTCAGGCATCCAAACATTGAACATTTCCAACGATGACCACTAGGTGGAGAAGAACCAAAGAAATCTTTTCAACCATCTGTGATTTCTGATTTTCATGCAAGTATGACACGCAAGATTTTTTACCTCGGTTTCAGGTTAGCAGAGATCAAAAATAAAATGCTTTCTACACTCACCTCTTCCAAAGTGAGAATCTTATATAGAGATTTTAAATGTCAATCTATTTCGTCATTCTTGATTTAATTTTACAGATGATGATACATCAATTTCAATATTAATACTGAATCGTGCTTCCAGAAAATTCTGAAGCATCAGGACAATATGAATATGAATCACTGTATTCAACTGTGTGAAACTTCTTTTTATTAATTACAACAATTTTCTAGGAAAATTTTAATGATTATCTTCATAAGAATCTCTTTAAACCCAGTAATAAGACTTTTTATTATCATTTGATTATAGCACAGTGGTTTCTTATGGGTTCTTAGATTATAAAATTATGCAAACTGTGAGAGTTAAAGTATAAAACTCACGAAGTTTCACAAATATAAGGGCTAACCTGAAGTTTATTGTACACATAAACATGTCCCAACTACTTAGATTTTTCATAAATGAAAGATATACCTGATTATCTATTTATAATTTGGTTTCCTCAACTGAAAAATAGTTTTCCTACCAAGATGCATGCTCTTTGGATTAAAGATCAACAGATGTTAACTACACTATTTCCCAGCATTAAATAGGCTGATTTTCCTACTGGCATTGGTCAAATCCTTGCTAACACAATTGTTTAATCTATCTGTCTTTAAAATGGACTAGTATAGGTATATGGAGACTCCCATTTCTGAAGTTTTATGATCTATACATTTAATGGAATTCACTCATCTTTTAAAGTCTTGAGCTTATGAAATGCAATAGCCTATCATTCCAAGAAAAGATGACAAGACTGTGAAAAAGGGTTAAATAAATGTTCAGGAGGAAAGTTACTTACAGTCACCGTCTTAGCGTCCATTTCAGTGAATATGAATTCTCCTCCTTCAAAGTCATCGTTCATATATAGAAGAGCACTGTAACAATGGAAGGAAAACCATTCATGAAATTAAAGGCTTACAACATATTCAGAATATGATCGGCCGGTGGTGAATGGGCCAGCCTGATCAGTAAGCTGCCTTTGAAGCAGACATCGAGTAACTGACCCTCCAAACCCTTGAAGGTAAGATCTGATAAAGTTTGTGTTATACCCGAGGTATTTATTGATTCTACCTGCATTAAAGATTTAACTATATTTTAAAGTTTATCTCCCACATTTCAATTCCTCCAAAGAATTACTAACCAGATTGTATTTAATATGGCCATCTGAACTCGTCTTCATTGCTTATAATTCTCTTCTCATATAATAGTTACTCAAAAGAAGATTAAATAAAAACTAGCTGGAGAATTCCTTGTGCTTTAGCCCAGACTTGCAGATAAAGGAGTGCCCAATAAATGTTTCTGAATAGAACACCATGTCATAATAACTAAGGAACTATTGTACACAGGCTGACTACAGCTCCTGCTCCTCCTCACATACGCAGGTATCTTTCCATAAAATAAAATATTATTTTATTTTGAGTTTTGAATTTCTCTCTGCTACAATGTGGACACAGTTCTTCACAGGTGTGACTAACAGCTAAGTGATGTGACAAGTGCTGGAACATCATGCTTCCGTTGTCAGCCCGAAGCACATCTGCCACAGAGGATACATCTCAGTCAAAGCAAAGTGATTAAAAAACACTCTAGTTAATAGGATGCAAAGTGCACATGCTGTTTTAAGAAACATGCAAACGGCACTCATCTCAGAGCAGACTGAGAATCTCTGCTTCACAGAGCTGAAGGTAATACCAAGCAAGAGAGAGCAGCCCCCCCGCCTCTGTGGGTTTTGGTAACTGTTGAGAAAAACCTTGGTTTGAAGAGGTGCTGGCTGTACCTATAGTCCCGGAAAGTGTACGCAGGGGGCTCCTTCCAGCACTCGTTGGCTTCGGGATCCAGCAGGCAGTTGTCCGCATGGATGGGATGACTGAGGTCGTTTCTTCTGTCTTGCTGACCTGCCACCAAAAGGAATGCAATGAAGGAGAGATGAATGCAGCCGTTTCCCACAGAAAAGACGACGACACACAGCTGTTTAGTGTGGAAGGAAGGAAAGAAGAGTGGACAAGCAGCCTGGGCTGGGTTGCTTGAAGGTGAACATGAACTGAAACTCGGGGCAATGGATTCCCATCTCTACAGCTGTGATGGTTCTCTGATATAAATGCGCATGTGTAAATTTCATGCATTTCATGGGTAGCACTTCATGCGTGACAGCAAAAGGATAAGAATAACGTGAATATGGAAACCAATGATTTCAATGCAGTTAAAACTCCACAAGTGTGACGTCTACTCCTGTGACATCCTTTTTCTTCCATTTGAGGGGCAAAAGGGAAGAAAGCAGAGAGAAAATAACAAATATCAGGGAGTGAGGAAGATTTTTTCCCTTTCAATGATGCTTCATCATTCATTCACTGTCCCTGTTTCTACTCAAAGCTTGTGACACAGTGACTGTAATGTCCAAGTTCTTGGTTCTCTAAGAAAAGAAATTTAGAACAGGGAAACATTTCTCTGTATGACTTTAGTAATTAGGAAAAATAGATTTGAAGGAGACAGCATGCAAAGCATAGGTCTTCTGGATCCGATAGAGAAACAAAAGGGAACGAAAGAGTAATGGGAAAATAAAGAACTCAAGCTGGGCATGGTGGTCCACTCCTGTAATCCCAGCACTCGGGAAGCTGAGGCAGGAGAATCATTCCAAATTCAAGACCAGCCTGGCTAATGGTGAGCCCAAGGCCAGCCTGAACTGCATAGCAAGATCCTGCCTCAAAAATAGAGAAAATAAAAAGAAGTCAGAAGCTCTCTGGTTCCTTTTTTGAAACACAGATTTCCAGTCGTGTGTTTCCCATGGTATGGAGGGTAAAGGGAACAAGTTAATGCTGTGGAATCTCACCGGACAGGGCTGTTCGGCAGACCAGGTGTGTATAGGAAAAATACAGGGTTGAGTTCAGCATGAAATAGGATTCCACGATCTTTCGGGCCTTCTCACTGACATCATAAAACAGACGGGCACTCTTCAGCGGGACTTGGCCCTCATAACCAAACTGAAAGGAGAAGAAAAAAAAAAGACATTAAAAGCCACTGGGTTGGCTGGAGGACTTGAAAGAGACAAAGGTCAGGCTTCACTGAGCCAGGATGGGGGCAGATCTCTGTGCTGACCAACAGCCGGTCAGCAGACCTTGGTTACCACAATAAACCAAGGAAGTAAGGAAGGGTCAAAGCCAGCTGCTCCCTCTACGCTCCTCCCATACTAACCCGTCACGCCTGTCTAACATACTCTCCACAGCAGAGAACCGTTACCTGTTTCCACCTGTGTTCATAATTAGACCGTGAGCCCCTTGAGGGCAGAGGCCACATTTTTCAGTTGGGTAAAAACTAAGGAAATGTTAAGTTGAATAAATGGATGACAGAATGAAGGAATGATTTAAAATATGAGCCATGAGGTGTAGCGTAGTAGGTGTCAGGCCCTGGCTCGGTTTCCAGCACCCAACAGTTTCCCTTTCAGACTGGATCCCTAAACTTCCCTGTATGTATCTTTCATAAACCCCTTTGGACTGAGGCTTAGGAACCCAACCCCACAGGGGAGACTTTACTTTGAGTGCTTTCAGGACAGTTGCACCTTCAAACTTTTCATTGGGTGTATGGGGTGAAGTCTTTCCTCTGTATCCATCACCAACAAGCATGATTCTCTGGAAGCAAAATGAGAGAAGATGCTTTCTCAGTGCCAGCTGCTCACAGGAATCGTTAGTCCATGCGGCTTCAGCTTCCAGAAGGCTGGAGCCCAAGTCCACACCCAGAACCACCCCCACTCTGTTCTAGGACCCAGATCTGATGAAGTCCGCCAAACCAAGAGGTGTTATTAGTTAACCTTCACTAAACATTTTCCTTAGGAAAGGTTACACTTCTTATAGAAGAAGTGGCATATAAATGGCTTATATCTTGGTGAATTATTGATTAAAATAAAGAGGCTTCTCCAGAGACTTCTAGAGGCAGAAAGGGGACATACTGGAGAGCCACTTTCCTAGGATTTAAGCCACCAGTTACCCAGAGTCACTTGGAAAGTGGATGTCATCGTAGCTTGAAGCCTCAAACGCACCCCACCACCAAATCTTTCAACTTAGAGCAAGGGAAACTTCAGGCCTGAGATCCTAAACCTAAGTGGCCCTGAATCACAGCCCTCCCAGACTGTGAGTGGCCAGCAGGGTAGGTCAGCCCCCTTCCCATCGTGTCCTCACCCTGGCCACGCTGTGCAGCTCCCGGCACTGCTCTTCAGACAGGACATTATCCAGGAGAACCCGCTGAGTCCCGTTCAGCTGCTCCGAGTTATACACAAAGGTGACATTTTCATACAGCAGAGGGCCACCTACAGGGACAGAGCACATTATTTTCCCAGTTACTCCTGTCCTCAATAAGGGAGGCACAGAACACACAACAGCCTTCCGTAGACACTTTGGGAACATCAATTTCTTTATGACTACTTAGGTATGCAAACACAAATTACATCTTATGAGGTTTGATAAACAATATGGGTTCAGAAAAGGGCAGGTGTGTGACTACCAGGTTTCCCTGTTATATCATAATAATATAAGAAATGTATACATTTAGGATAAACTTTCAATTTATTCAGGAGAATCCTCAAAACTGCACTGGACATTTCATGGTATTCTCATCTAAGAAGACGCGTCCTTCTTATAGGGCTTCATTTGTACCACTATCACAGCATGGCAGATAGCTACTCGATGACATGTTTTTGTCAATCATGGAGGAGGGGCTCAGCTCAATTCCACTGTGTTCTAGGGTCATGGCTTCCCTGAGTAACTCAGGCAGTCATACCAAGCCATTGGACTCCTTTGCTAAGATCTTTCCCACTGCTTGACTGACTGTTTGGTCTCATACTTGGAATAATCATTTCTTTTTGCTTTCTAGATAAAACCCTTTCATACCTTTTTTACAATGGAGAGTTTCTGTAGGCTGCTTGTGTTGGTTACCCTCCTTGCAATCCTGAGACAAAATACTCAACACCCTAACTTAAAGGAGGACAGGTTTTATTTAGCGCAGTTTGTGGCACTGTCAGTCCATAATCAACTGGCCCCAAAGCAGGGTGGCATGGCATCATGGCAACCATTCATTGTGGGAAGACAGAAAAAGCAACAATAACAAAAAGACAGGAGCATGAGAGAAGACTCTGGCCCTCATACTGTATGTAAGCCACACCCACCCTTGGGTGGGCAAATACCTCACAGGTACAATCCCAGCATTGGACCATGAGTCAGTCACAAATTCTAGCCTGCCCCCATGACTGCATGAGGGTTTGGGGTGACATTCAGACACAAACTGTAACACTACTGTATCTGGATAGAGCCCTAACTTTAGAAAAATTACTCTCATGTTGTCCCTGCAGACAGTTATACATTGGGATCATGACTTAGTTTGTGAGATTACAACATTCAGACCTGACAAGGTCCTTTCCTCATACAATGAGACAGATGAAAAACCATGACAGTAACATCTTCAAGTGCCATTTACAGACTGTAGGGGAAGAGAACAAGAAATCACCAAGAAGCAAGCCCTCCATGCAAATCAGCACCATGCTGCTGCTGCTGCTGCTGCAGGGAGAACCAGATGCCAGCCCCTGTGAGCGTGTGGGCTGGGAAACAAGAAGAGCCAACCTCACCCCCATCCCACACTGCAATAAGCGACCAGTTGATCCAGAGAAACACAGGCTGCGATGATAGCTATTGAGGTAAAATACATTTAGTGTTTTTAGTGTTTAGTGTTTCAGTGACTTTGCAGGTCTGAAGTAGTACGATTCAGAGGATAACGATACACAATGTAGCATCTATAAGGGCCTCCTTCTGAAGGTGGTAGCCATTATTAATTCTCTGTCATCTTGTTTTGGACTTCTGTATCATTTTCATTATTTTGTTGGTTGGGGTTTCATTCTGTTTTGTTTGATTTTATCATACCTGATGGCACGAGCAGCTATTTCAAAGATAACACAATATATTATGGTAGCCATTTTGGATTTACTCTTGTTTTGAAGTCCTTTATTATATTCATTGTTTTGTTTTTATTGATTCTATTCTGCTGCATTTTGTTTGACTTTTTACTATGTCTGAAAGTATCTGCAACTATTTTGAAGACAATAAGAGGCACTATGGTTACCACTATTGATTTCCTATTGTTTTGAAGTTGCGTCATTTACACTGGTTTATTTTGATTGGCTTTATCATGTTTTATTTTGCTTGGTTTTATTCTTTTTAAAATAAAAGAAAGAAAACTTCAGATATAACAGAGTGTAAATGTCATGAAACAGGAGCTGAGCAGAAAACATTTGGATTTTTTGTTCTTATAAATCTCCTAGTGAGGAGAAAGCCCTGGCAAGTATCCACGGGTACAAAGAGCTCACAACAGAGGGCACGAGGGTGAGGGAGAAAGGGTCAGCTGCTTCTGCCCTCCCCGCAAGAAGAGCAATGGGCACCAACACACGGGCCTAACACATATCTGTGCTGAAATTGATGTCTGATAACCTCCACTGCACAGTTTAATTAAATAAGGGAATGCCTCCATCTAACTGTTTATTATTCTACTTAGGATAAAAGCCTCACTACATCCAATGGTTAATGGAATATGAAAAGAATGAGATAGCATTTTTCAATCTTGAGCAATGCATGTTTCTCTCTAAAGAAAGCAAATCTTCCCTCAGAAGCTTCAGTGCTGACAAAGTCTTTGTGCTATAATCTTATTTCTGTATTTCTAGTCATAAAACTATGTACATGTCATTTTCATAGTTTTGTACAACTATAATATCAAAACCACTTAGCTTAAATGAAAGTAAAATAATAAAACAAAGAAACTGAAATTAACCATATTACATCAGATTATATCCATTACATATGGATATTTTATTAAGTGAACTGGCCCAAGTTCTTTGAATTAGTGTTCCTTATAATACTGTAACGTCATATCTTAACACACATTTCTCTACTTAAACTACTATAAAACATTTGTGTGTTTAGCCTTTAGTTGGTCCTAACATATTACTCATAAAGATATGCATCTCATTTATTGTTAGTCTTCAATCACTGATGTATTAAAACTGGTGCCAATGTGACCATAATTGTACCTATACCCATAAAGAAAGGAAATCTCATGACAGTAGTTAGCTATAAATGGTCATTGTGATCACTTACTGACTCCTTTCATTTTAAAAACTGTCACTGAAATATGTAAGTACAGAATTTCTTGGGTTCCAAATACATATCCATAACCAGCCAGCTTCAGTTTTATATTTTTGGATGAATAAAAAATATAATTAATATTGTCACAGATTCTATTGTGTTGAAAATTTCAGAAAATACTTGGTTAAATAAACTTTACAAAACTACTTAGAACTTCAAATACATGAAGAGGCCTTGGGAATCTCTAAGTAGTCACGTAACATGCAGCAGTTTTCCGTCTTTGCTCAACACAATTCCTGTCCTCTTCAATCCCTTTTCCCCTACCCATCCCCTTCCCTCTTCTCAGCTGTCCCACTACCAAGGCAAGAAGATTCTAAAATGCTCTCATTGGTCACTGGCTACTGGTTTTCATCCCGTGGAATCTGCTTCCCACAAGTGTGGTATGACCAGGAACTGGCTTCTAAATGAAAGGCATGCAGAGGTGAGAGGACATCCCATCCATCTGCAATTGTGTGTGGCTTCTCTCCTGCTGGTGGCTTCAGTGTGTTGCCTTCCTGGCTTGCAAACTTTGAAGAAGCAAGTGTCTCTGTTGGAAAACGGCCACATAGCAAGGAATTAATGGCCTCCTCTGACTGCCGACCAAGGAGAACTGAAGAACCCCAGTCCGATAACCCTTCAGAAATTGAATTCTGCCATCTAACTTGGGAGAAAACACTTCCCAACCAAGTTCTGAAGGAGATACCAGCCCTGACTGGCAACATCACTGAAGCCTCATGAGCCACCCAGCAGAAATCAATTCAATTACATTATGCCCAGATGTATGACCCATAGAAACTAGCATGTTAAATATTGTTACACACTGCTACATTTGTGCTATTTACATTTCCACACGACTAAACAAACAAAATAGTGTCCTCCTCTCACCCCTAGAATCTCTTAACATAAAGCATAGTTTGGGAAAAGTTAATTCAATCTATGTCCTAATCAAATACAAACCTTCCTTCAGATATTTGGAACAGTGAACTGCCTATTCACTCCAGTTTAGAAATACAAAAAGAAATATTCCTTCAGCAAGAAAGACCAGATACCAGTAGGTTCACCAAAAGCATTTGCTGACAGAAAATTCAAACAGAAATGTAGAAACAGTGAGTGCAGTAGTAAACTGGGTTCATTTGTATTTTGACAGATTTTCTTTGTTTTCTCTTTTGAGAATGTATTTCTTTGACTATGATTAAGTTGTTCTTAAAATACGATTTTTAAAGTTACCAGACTAAAACATTTAGAAATATATCTAACACCCAAGCTCTGTGCAAGTATTTGCTATTATTCTTATAATCACTACTACTAAATTAGTTAACGGTGCCTGGAATATTGTGTTAATTCTGACCGAAGCATCTCAATTTATAATGAAGGCTACCTTAGGGAGGGATCTTGAGCTAGTAACACTGCTGTAACCAGAACTCAGAATTAGCAGGTAAAGAAAGAGTATATCATGGAATCTTTGATAGTTAGATCTAAATGGGTTTAGGGAGAATCTGTATTAGAATCTGCCTAAAAAGATGATCTTGAGGCTTTTATAGGTAAATGGAGGCAATTTGAGAATGTTCTCATAAGTGAAATAAATCAGACTCACATTTGTAAATATTATATTGTTTCTGTAGTATAAAAATTAATAAAATACTAGAAATCTGTCTTTCATGGATTATAACAGTTATCACTAAGAATAGAGCTTTTTCAGAAATTTCTCACACATGCATTTGACAAAAACAATTACCCACCTTTCAGTTAAACAAAAAGAAAAAAAATGTTGTCATTCATAAATAGTTTGTGTATAACTAACAACCTGTCAGACAGATGAAAACATTAATATTAAAACTCAGTCCAATAGATTGTGATTCCCGAGGTCCGACTTGACGGCTTCAGCCAATTCCTAACACAGTGTAAGGAGATGTAAGCAAGTGAATGAAGTCTTCTCTCATTCATGAAGTATGTGCCTGGGTTTCACTCTCCAGTAGCAACCCAGACAGCTCATCTAGAAAGGTTTCCCTTTGTGCTCACTGCCTGTGGTTCCTGGCAAGAAGACTCATTTTCCTACAAACACCACAATGTCACAAAAGGCAAGATCAGGTTGCACAGGCCAAGGAGCCGTTCTAGGGGCACAGTTTTTCACAGTTTATGGAAGATTTTTTCATTCATCATTTCAAAAAGTGATCACCCTCCACTTATAAAAAAGGAGCATGAGTCGAAAGAGATGCTAGGTTTCCAGCAGTGTGCAGCTTATGCAAATAATACAATCCCGGAGATGAAGCTGCTGGATTCCAAGTTCAGCATTGTTTCCTTCGCACCCCTCATGATTCTAAGATCATTGATGAGCACGGCTTTTGGGAAAATATGGGTTGCGAGAAAGCATGAAAACGTGGCAAACTGCTGTGGTTTAATACTCAGGATGTGGTCCTGAGTGATTTTCATTACCACACTGTGGAGCTGTCTTCTTGGAAAGCTAATAAACACTATCAGGTAAGCAGGACAGAGGACAATCTCTTTGGGGAAGATAAAAAAGAAACACTTTATTTTGTGGGACATGCTTCAGTTTTTCTCTCTTTGAGATCTGCTTTCAGCTGGACAAAGATATAAAAGTGTTTTCTGATTGGGAACTTCAGCATCTGCCACAGCTTTTAATTGAGATTGTATTTAGATGTCTAGTGGCGAGAAAGCTTTCCCAATATGGCACCAAGAAGAAATACATTTGAATTGCTTCTTGACCTTTTGGCTAAGATCAAGTGTAGCATCTGTTCTTATCAGAAATCCATTTGATCACTGTATTAATTCCTCGTTCAAAGCTTTAGGAATCCTTTTAATTTCCTGAAAGATCTAAATGACAGAAGTTTTTAAGTTTACAGTGTATTTTTTAAAGTGAAAGAGTAATAAGATCCAAAATGTACAGCAGATATTGTGATTGTGAAAGGGAAAAAAAGTGCTCAAAAGGAGAGAACAACTGGAATAGAGGAATGGAGAAAAGAAAGAAGGGAAAAGAGTGTATTTTATATATGTGTTTTAAATACATATAAAATAGATAACTAAACTATGTTTGGTTCTCCAATGCGTGAGAGAGAAAAACTGAGAAAAAAAACAGAAAGAAAGAAAAGAGGCCTTTGTTGTGGGCACAGGAGGGCTGCTGAAGAAAGGCAAACACCCTCTGGAAGCTTCAGGAAATAACAAGGGACTTTATTTGGAATTTGACAGGGGGCAGAGTTAAAGGGGCAGGCGAAATGACATACTGACAGCTGATTGGAGGAACACTGGCAGAATTTAACTTTTGTGTTTTCAAGAACACAGGGAGCTTCTGTCCAGTGCCATGTTAAACTGCGCATGGGAAAAACCTGTCATTCTACTAATCTCTGTAAGTTCATCAAAAAGAACAGTTTGTGCTTTCACTGTTTGTTTGATCTTTTAATACCTAGATTTTGTAACCTGAGCGACTACTTCTAAGACAACAATATGCAATATATGAAGCAGTGTTAATTTTCCAGTGTTTTTTAAAATTTTGTGTCATTTCTATTTTTTTGTTTTGCTTTTTAAAATAACATTTAAAAATTTTTTTTTAATTTTTTGTTTAGGGTACCAGGAATTGAACTAAGGACCTCACATTTGCCAGGTAAGCACTGCACCACTGAGCTATATCCTCAGTCCCAGAAGATACTTTATTTTTAATTAGTAATAAGCCCTTTTTGCTTCCACCTGAGTTTATGCTAAAGAAGTGATTTCAGGGGTAGCCCTGGTCACACTCACCCTGGAAGTAGTCACCAGAAAGACCCTCCTGGAAGGACTGAAACTCGAGTCCTTGCCCAGACACCTCTGAGAAGGGGTGGGAGGCTGGAAGGTAAGCTCTCTAAAGTTCTTGAGCAGCAGGAGGTGATGAGCTTCTCAGCTGCTGGATATCTGGTGATGCCGGGAAGGTACTTTACCCACAGGATACACGCAAGCACTGCCTGGCACCCATCTTGTCCTGTGTACCTCTCCATCCAGTTGTTCATCTGCAACCTCTCTAAAGTCCTTTGTGGTCAACTGGTAAATGTGCTTCCCTGAGTTCTGTGACACACTCTACAAATTAATCAACTTCAAAGAGAGGGTCACGGGAGGCCCACTTGAGCTAGTTGTTCAGACTAGTCAGAGTACACTGCTGTGTGAATTCCTGAGGGGCTGAGCCCTCCACCTGTGAAACCTAACTACATCTCCAGTGTCCTTGCCTGCAGTGTCAAACTCCGCTCCAATTCTAGGGCACCAACTTGGTGTTCCTTGGAGAATTGCTTGGGGCATGAGGCAAAACAAACCAAACCAACACCACAACAAAAACACACATGGCTGCCTACACATGTGAAAAATGGCTGCATTTTTCTTTCCTTCAGTTTAGCAGGTTTCCAGAGAACCCAGTGGCCAATCAACCAAGAGACCAGCAGAAATGACAGATTTTTATAGCTTTCCAAAATCATGGACATATAGTCAAGTATCCTACTTGTCCTCTCAACTTGCCAGCATTTGCTTGACATCAGTTTCCCTGAAAACCAAAACAGTCTTGGAATTTGGCAACTATCCCAGAGTTTCCTAAATACTTATGGCAAAGTGTTGAGCTACTGGCGTGTTCTTCCTGGGTGATTTCTCAGCTGAAAAACCAACATGAACTCTGGCTGACCATGAACCTTTCTGGTTGTTGTAAAACAGCTTGGGTTTTGTGGCTAAAAACTGAGGTCTAGGTCAGATGAGATGAGTACATTATCCTGTTTATTGCTCAGGCTAACTTGGAAGCTAAGGACGGAAAGGTCTGGGAAATGTACAAGTTAGAGAGAGCCAGAAGTTTCCAAATCAGCTACAAGAATGTGCTGACAAGCTCTCTTGATAAAAGAAGTACTGTACTTCTCAATGCAGGTTTTTGAAAGCCTCTTCAGATCTTGCAATAAAGTTGACCATGTGTCACTATTAAGGATTCTACTCCAATAAATTCAACCAACCATTGGATTGAAAGTAGTTGAAAAAATTGAGCTGAATATGCTATTGCCTTTTCTGTCATTATTGCCTAAATGACAGAGTATAACAACGATTTATATAGTACTTACATTATATTAGGTATTGAAAGTAATTTATAGATGTTAAAGAATGGATGTTACAGATGTTAAAGAAGATGTTAAAGAAGATGCTGTGAATTTAGCTCAGCAGCATAAGTATCTGCCTGGCAAACATAGGGTCATGAGTTTGATCCCTGGTACCAAAACAATAAAGTAAGAAAGAAAGAATGCATGAGGCTATAAATAGGTTATACACTAATCCTTTTCATATAACAGACTTGTACAATTTTAGATTTTGGTATGCTAGGAAGGAAGAGAGTCCCAGAACCAGTCCTACATGGATGTCCAGTATCTTAAGTCACTTTCTTGTTGCTGAGACATAGTGCCTAACCCTGGCAACCTGAAAGAGGAGAGGTTTATATCAGATCATATTTCAGTCCATGATGGACTGGCTCCAAGACCGGCAGTGTGGCAGAGGGGCCTGCTGGAGGCGCTGCTCAAGGCACAGTGGCAGGGAAGCCAGGAGAATGAAGGGAGGACCTGGGAAGGGAGATAAACTCTTCTAGGCCACACCGCTCTGATCTGATTGCTATCTTCTGAACAGACTCCACCGCTGACCAGCAAACCAGCCACACAACCCCATAAGCAAGTCACCACTCTCAAGTCCCTGCCTCTGATCCCTAGAGACTTTGGGAGTGGACATTAATACATAAACCATAACGTCCAGAGAAGGTTATATTTAATCAACAGAAGCGATCATGTTTCATGTAACAGATGAAGAAGAAAATAGGAATTAAGATTCCAAAGTCTGTGTTCAAATGCCTGGCCAATATATTATGAATTGTGAGATTCTGGCAAAGTCATTAACTATACCCTTCATACACATGCAAGGCTACTAGTATTAAAATGAATTGTATGTAAATTTGCTTGAAAGGTTATAAAAGATACAGAAACAATAATTATTCAGGAATAATACTGCTGATATTATGAATACTGCTATTAGTTTACTTTATAATATGATTTGGTTCTATTTAAAAATGCCTTTGGCAACACTCCATCTGTGATTCCACCAATCCGTATCTTTCAGAACTGGGCACATAATATTGTGCTGTTTTTATTTGCTGTTTGTTTTGTCATGTACAATGGCTCCTTCCCTGCCTCTGTCAATTCAATCAGTCTAAGTTGAGGCTGGTGATGTAACTTAGTGGTAGAGCAAAGGATCTAGAATGCAGGGCCTGGATTTAATCCTCTGTAGCAAAAGGAAATTACAGATTTCCTCACAGCATTGCTCAGGCGTACATTCTTCACGTCTCTTAGGTGAACCAGCACTGTACCTCATGGGACCCGTCTCTTCTCTTCGTTTCTTAGAGATGCTTCAACCGCACCTCACCCTCACTGATTGCACAAGAGAATTAAGTCCTGGGACTCTGCTAAGTCTCTGGAGCTTGACTCAGGGGACATGACTGCCTAAGCTCAGCACTCCTGTAGGGCACAGATGAAGGAGAAAATTCAGATCACTTTTGCAAAGATACATGAATCCGAGACATTCTGTTTGTAAGCCTTCCCTTCACAGCGATGAACCACCCTAGATTAATCTTTACTTTTTGTTTTCCAGAAAATGTGGATTCTATCTTGATCTAGATCAGAACTGTTTACAGTCCACCCTCTTCTCATCCTTGAAACAGAAAAGTGTGTAGTACTTACCCTCTGTTAAATCTCGGTGTATCTTAGCTGACGATTTCTTTCTGATTGACAACCCATGTACTTCTGCCTCCTCCACATTCACTCCTGAAGGCACCCTGCTCATTCAAACAAATGAAATCACAAGTTCTCATTGGATCAAGGTAGTTAAAGCAAATATAGTATACCCACCCAGTCCACAGTTCTCTGGTGTGTATCTGTGCATACTGCACACAAATCCATGTAACCTTCAAAATAAAAAATCAAATGTGCCTGCATCTGTGAAATTCCCTATTTTCTCAATGACCATGCTCCATTTCCCTCTCCTAAATCCTTTCTCATCATTCATTACAATTAATTGCATTTATACATTAACCCGGGGCTGGAGATTTAGCTCAGCGGCATAAGTGCCAGCCTTGCAAGCAGGCAGTCGTGAGTTCGATCCCTGGTACCGACAGAAAGGGAAAAGACAAAAAAAAAAAAAAAAGTATACATCAACCCTTTCCCTGCCTATTAGATTATTATGCCAAGGAGTAGGAAAAAAAATGACCATGTTCATTATCATAATGCTCAAATACTAAAGCTATACCTTGAGCATGGAAGAATCACGGAATAATCACTGGTCTGAAATAAAGTGTGCCCTGATGGTCAGGCTTTTGGTCATTCTAAGAAGAATATATAGGTCTGTGCCATGTATTTCAAAGGCACAAATGCTAGCAGGCTGAGCCTTCAACATACATAGACTGGGCAGATCTAAGCACGCTCTTCATTCTCTGGTAATAATCTTACACTACCCCAGTGTTAACTCCTTCAAAACTAATGAAGGACCTGCAGATTCTGAGTAAGAACTGGATTTGCCAGTAAATGAAGATCTAAGACTCTTCCCTCTACCTGATCTGTTTCCTAGTTTGCAAACAGTTAAACTGGACCCTGACATGAAATACACATAACTCAAACAAGTTCATAAGCTTGAGTTCTTCACACAGTGAATTTACTTGCATTGTTTTAAAAATATGAATTCTCACTTGTGAGTTATTATCACTTTATAGTTATATTGCATCAGAACTGTCTGAACTTCTTAATTTCAAGTAAATATAGTAAAAGATAATTCACCATCATAAGAAAATTTCATAGCTCTTTTTCTACTAGTAAATCAAAAACAGAATCCATCTCTCCCTCATTTGGAATCACACAATGTTAGCATTTTGAGACCAACTGATTCAACTCCCTCATTTTTGGAAAAAAAAAATCATGAGACTCAGGTAAAAAGATGATCATTTAAGGTCATGCAAGTATGACAGGAATAACTAGGACCAGGAAACAGATCTCTTAATTTGTAGCTCAAAACTGTTCACTGTATTTTTTTCCAATGTCATACAGCTAAGTTCCTTTTAATATGTTCTGCATTTCTTTTCATTAAAAAGAAACAAAAAATCTGAATGAGACTCACCGATTTTCATCTTGTCGTCCTCCATATCGAATCCAATAATTCTGTATTAAATTAAGAAAACATTTGTAATTTGGTTGTTATAGCATCACTTACATAAACAAATTAAAAGTACACTTAAAATACTCCAAAGATGTAAAATATTAGGCAGCTTGAATCTTACATCAAAACACAATACATGTTTTATTTAAAAACTTAATGAAAAGTAAGCTAAGCTTAATGCAATTTTGGCAAAGGCAAGGTGAAGCAAAACTAATATAGGATTAGCTTGGACAGCCCTCCTTTATGCCCAGAAAGTGACCTGAAAATTAGTTATATAGAGATGCTTGAAACATCATTCAGTTCACTATTTTATGTTTTATGAAAGAAGTAGGAAAGAAATGAAGTTCAGCTTGATTATTTGTCTAGGATTTTCAAACTAGTAAGTGACATATTCTGGAGTCTCCTGGGATAGCATGATCTTTTCAAATAATAAAAACAAATGTGATAAAAATGTTACATGTGAAGCATGACCTTAAGTTAATGAAATCATGTGTCAGTGAATATATAGCTTATCTAAGAAAAATGATAAAATATAAATGAACAATGCTACAAAGAATGCTTTTTTAATATTAATATGTATAACTGAAAACTTATAAACCAATAACATATATATATATATATATATATATATATATATATATATACCAGAGATAAAGTCCACATCTAGGCAATTCAAAAGAGAAAACTAAGGTCAAAAAATGTGGTGCACACTTGTAATCTCAGAATAATGAAAGCCTCACACGGAAACACTGAAAGTTCAAACTTTAACCCAAGTAACTTAGTAACTGAGACCTAGTTTCAAAATAAAAAATAAAAAGGATCTAGAGATGTAGCTTTGTATAAAGGAACTGGGTTCAATTCCCAGTTATACCAAAGGGGAAAAACAAGAAAAAGAAAGGAAGGAGGGAAGGGAAAAAGAAAGTGAGGAAGGAGAGGCAAAAGAAAGGAAGAAAATAATACAATAAAATTGATGGTAAACTGGTACTTTTATGCAACACTACAGAAATTATCAGAAACATTCCCTTGTGAAAGCAACTAGGGTTTGAGAAATTTAAAATCTTATATCTTTGATGGCGGAGAAATTCTACTAGGATTTAGTCTAAGGTTACTGTTCAACAGAGAGAGAGAAATGCTTAATGTATTTGGTATGCTAAAAATCAGAAATAATTCAAATATCCAGCAACAGAAAAAAGTCATTGTATATCAAGATTCTATGTATGCAGCTAGAAATAATTTTAAAAGCTATACAGATACAGAAATGACTTATGTTTTCCTATACAAAAATCAGAAAGGGAATCTGCCTGTCCCACGACATTAATTCTGTAAACGCTGTCTCCAAATGAAGAATGATTAGAAAGCACCATAGGATGTGGAGCTAAGGCAGCCGGATCACTGTGACTGACGTTGTTCCTCTCGCAGTCTCCTCAATGTTTCAATAACAAACAAGCATGCCAGGAAATACTAAGTGTTCATACAAAGTGTGAGGAAACAAAACAATTCCAGGGCAAATGAATTGCATTCACAATACGTCCACCAGATCTATCTGCTTGACGTTGGATCTCAATGGTATGGACACCTGCTACAAATTTTTAAAGTTCATGTACTGAGTAAATACTCTTCCTCCTCAATTATTAATGCAAACAGGACACTGAGACGCTCAACAAGTGGGGGTGGGGAATAAAACCATAAATAACTCTGCTGACAAATCCTTTTAATAAATTTCATTTTTCTATCTGGACCTTACTGGTTCAGTGTATGAAAATCCCAGACCCTCTGCAGTCGATTTTATCAATTCAGCTTCAAGTTTATGACGTTTCACAAACATTGCCGCATCCTAGGGGTGAAATAAGGAAAAAAAAGAAGAAGATATTTATGTCAAATAATATCTAAGAAATATTAAAACAGAAATCAGAGAAGCAGAGAAGAAAAACTCACTTTTGGGTTCTTAACATGCTATTCTTTAAAAGTACAATTTGCGCTTTCTTTTGTGTCAGCCAGGGTTAGGGTTACGGTTAGGGTTAGGGAGACTTGACATGCTGATGCTCAACAGGAAACTAAAACAGGACAAGTCTGGCACACCTTCATTATATATGTCACTTTTATTACATTAAAGAGCTAACGGAAATATTCAGAGCTACAAAACCATATCCCCAGGTAAACATACATTTTTCACAAGCTAACATCAATGAAAAATGTGCTTTTGGTCTAAATAAAGTATTAGAATTAAATTCCAGAACTTTTCCTAAATTTTCAGGTTCCTTTAGGGGCAGCGTTATAATTCTGTTAATTCTCCTCAAAGCCTGTAGCAGTAGAAGGAATTTCTGCTCTGAACATGGGTCTTACCTCTCTAGCCTCAATGGATGCTGGGTCTGTGCTATCCTCCAACAGACTTTCATAGTAATCCACATTGTCCAGCACGTCCACGTCATCAGCATGGAACAGGATGTAGGCCTTAGCACACTCCAAAGCTTTTATATAGTCACCAACTGAAAGGCCAAGAATGTACAGGACATAGTCAGCCTAGTTCTCTGCACAGAGGACTTTAAAGAAAGGCATTGGTATGTACACTGATGTTAGTATCAGTGACCAGGGAAAGAGAATACAAATTGAGGCTGAACGGAGTAAACAGAAATGTAGAGAAAGGATCTGACTTGAGATATGAAAAGAGATCACCTTTGATCTGCTTTGGTGCTACATGGTTTGCATACATTATGAAAAGTCTTTGCCTGAATATTTTTGTGGAAAACTTATTTAATACAAATACACAGCAGAACTATAGGAGTTAATTTTGATTTTTGTAGTGATTTAGGTTAACTAAACATCCTGAGGATGACCTTCAACGTCAAAGATGCACTGTTTCATACAAAATGTATGAATGGGATAAGTGATTTTAAAATGATACTTTTCATTGCTGTTAAGTTTGTGGTAAACTGGTACTTTTATAGACTACTCTGGAGAACCCCACACACACAACCCACCCCTCACTATACCATTGCATCAAGCTCCTAACAGAAACAATCAAAAATGTTTCAGCCGTGAACTCTCTGTTGGAAAGCATTCGGTTATTACAAAGGAATATTTAGTTTGAAAGTTGTATGTCATGTTTTCAAATAGGTCACAGCCCTGCATTTCTTTTTAAAGAAGTTCTTTCTAGATACATACCCTCAAAGATGGCTCATGGCTCTGGTTTTTAATAAAAATGACAATTAGGTAACTCTCTCCACTCCACTGCTTTCACTCCTGATAAGCACATGATTTATTATTTGCCATCAGCACCAAGGCAATGAGTAATGCTTTGCTTTTGAAAAGGGAGGGAATTTTCCAAAGTAGCCCGAAAATGTTGGCTTAGTTTCTCTCTTTTTTTTTTTTAAAAGGGAAATATTTTACTACTGACTTCTATGCAAGACACCGATGCTGGAAATCATGAGAAACAATTAGAGGAGCAATGATCTGAGAATTACGATCTGTCAGAAAGCTAAGTGAGCTTAGTCATTTCTCTGTAAAATAAAGATATTAGACCACGTAAGTCTAAGAGCAGTTCCAGCATCCTGAATTCTATTGCTTTTAAACACAAAAGAAAGGGACTGCCGATTTGGCTCAGCAGCATAGGCGCCTGCCTTGCAAGCATGAAGTCATGAGTTTGATCCCCATACCAAAAAAAAAAAAAAAAAAAGTAAACACAAAAGAAGATGCTTAATATCTCTTAGTAAAATAAAACTATTTTGAGATACCAATTTTCCCTAGTGGACTGGTGACTATATAAAATTGGATTCATATACTCTTTTCAGGAACAATAGAAAATGTAATTCACATGGAATAAAATTTTTAAAAATACATGCAGTAAAATTTGACAGTGTCTATCAAAACTACAAATGAGTAAATTTTTTGATGCAACAATAGTACTTCCAGATACTCATAGATAATTATATATAGATATGGAATGACATACGTGAAATGTTATGCACCTAAAATTAAATGTAACAGCAAAAGATAATCACCAACTTCCCATCAACAAAGGGAAAATTAAACTGTAGTAAAATGATATGCAGATATAAAGAAAAGTGGATGGGGAAGATCACTACTTACTGATAAAATTAAATAGAACCATGTAAAACTGCCGTAACTTGACGTTTCACAGATCTACCTTAGTACAAGAAAAATCGGTCAGATGCAAAGTGAAAAAAAATGTACCAAATAGTATAAATATATGCTTATTTTTGTGTCAAACATGGGAAAATAAATTTCTGTGATTGTGTGTATAGATCTGTTATTATGTATATGACTTTGCAAGAATAAGTAAGAAATTGGGTTAAATGCCATGATATCCAGTTGTGGAGATAGGGAAGAGGAAAGGTTTTACAGTATTTGGCCTTTAATTCATGTGGGTGGATCTTTATTAGAATTAAATTTAAAAATCGAGACACATTACTCTAGTACAATTTTTAGGAAATTACATTGCTATTAAGTTCTGTATTTTATCCACTTGCAGTGTCACCTGCTCTGTTCACCCTCAGTTTCAGCAATGTGAAATGAGGAGCTGCTGAAACTAACCACACACACAACTGTAACCCCAAATTGTGACTGTCCTCTGGACTTGGTTAAGAAGTGCCTTGCACATTAGCAAAGCACCCTTGCAGGTGTGACTGCCGGGACTTCGGGAGAGCACCCTGGCCCTGGCTTCTTCCTCCCTGGCACCTTCCTCCTCTGTTCTCTGCTTTCCAGTAGCCATGAAGTAAGCAGTTTACTCCCCTACACCCTTCTGTTATGATGTCCCTGCCAGGGAGCTGGCTGACCATGGCCTGAAACCATGTGCCAAAATCACTTTTTATCCTCTGAGTTGAAGATGTTAGACACTTTGTCCCATCGGTGGGAATGGCAATCAGTACACTGATAAAGTAAACCAAGCAGAGCATTGAATGAGGGAAATATGGCTGTGGTAATAAAAACAACCTCCGCAGGTCTTCAGAGATAAGCCATGCTTTACCTCGGTAGTAGGCAAACTGCAGGTAGTCGTAATGCAGAGGAAGAAAGTTCTCGATGGGTGAGAGGCGGGCGGGGCGCGTGGCAAGTTCCCTCACGCACTCATGCTGACAAACCAGCACCTGCATGTAGTGATCTGGAAGACAAGAGGCAAGAGTGAGTCCTGCCGGCTGTGACAGCCATACCTGGGTCACGGGTCCAGTCCCACAAGGTGCTTCTAACTCTCCACACTCAAGGGAGAACTCACTCTCAGTCTCCTTTCCAGACTGTAAAACCTTCTCACAAATTCAGTGATTTGCCACGAGCTCCTTCCAGTGGTGATGGGAACAGCAGATCCCCCAAACTACCTGCCTCATGCCTTTTTCTATATGATGTGTTCTTTTCTTCCCATATCAATTTTTTAAACCATGCCTGAAAGTGCCAGGGAGCATTTCATTGTGTGCACACCCAGTAAGAGATGGCTTTCTTACTTAACAATCTCCAGGCTTCATGAGGGATGCTTTACAGGGCCTGAAGTGACTAGGATCATCAGGACTGAATGACTGGTATCATTAGGTTAAGAAAGTGTTCAAAGAATGGAGCCACCATATATGTACAGAGCTCAGAAGGAGAAGTAAAGCAAAACTCTCCTTTTCCTCTTTAATATTTCCAAGACAGAGAGGTAATGAAAACAGTTTATTGATATCCACTGATCAGGACTGCATTCTACCCAATTATAAATCAGTCCATCACCTGGTCATTACATATTGTAATGAATACTGGGAAACTTGTCTATTTTTTACCAGGGAGTAGTAAAGTAGGAAAAAGGATGAAAACTAAAGAATTTTGATAGGAGCTAGATGTGGTGAAGCACATCTCTAGCTAAGCTACTCCAGGGGTTAAGGACTGGAGATCATTTGAATGAAGTACAAGATATTCCATGTTTAACAACCCCTCTGTTTAACGATTGTTCAGAATTACAACCCACCACTTGGATTTACAACCTATTTTTTGGTACAGTTCTGTATATCTTGTTTATAGTTTCAATGTCTTTGTTTTGTTTGTTTTGGTAAGGCACACTTTGTTTATGCAGTATAATACGTTTTGCTAATTGTACTGTCCAGTGATGTACTGTAGTTTTGCATGGTCTTATACTTCACAGTACAGCGTTAGAAGAGTTATGCAAATAAAAGTAGCCATTGTTCTGAATACTGTAATGTACATACCACATACAATTTCTCATTTGTCACTGAGTTGATTTAATGAGCTAGTCACAGGACCAGAAGTTCCACTTTGAATCAAGGAGTATCTAAGCTTCAGACTACTCTGAGCAACATAGCAAGACACCCTTCTCAACAACCACAACCACAGCAGCAATGAATTTTAATAAATATTTTTTCATTTTTACTCCTTCCTTTCCTCATCCTTACCTCACATATTTTGCCTAACTTTAACTTTCACTCTAAAGTTGGAAATAGTTTTTCCAGGAAGAGAAAGATTCATTGACATTTATGCCTATAAGGTTCCCCAGAGGAGAAAGGTATTGTTTGATGCTAGGGCTGCACAGTATAATTCATGATAACTCTGCTTCTTCTAAGAGGTGCTGTGCTTAGTCTGAGCTCAGCTTGGCTCTGGGTGATCTTAAAGAGTGAACTCAGAGCACAATGGGAAGGAAATAGGCAGTTTCTAGTGGTGACAGTGGTGGTGGTGTCAGTGGTGGTAGTGGCAGTGTGCGTGTGCGTGTGTGTGTGTGTGCCCACATTAATGCCCCAGTTTCAACAATCTGGCTAAGTCAATCCTTCACAGCACAGCTAACAGAATCTCCAAAGTCCCCTAGTCATTAACTCCAGCTGGAGTTTGCAAGGGGAAGAATGAGTTCTCTTTGTCTGGTTACATGTTGAAAACAAAGTATTAGCTATTTTATTTCTGATGGAGAAAAACAGCAAATACTCTTCAGCTGTTTTTTCCTACTCATCTCTGCAGGTCCCTTTCATTCTTATATACACACATTTCTTCTATTCCAGCTAGTGAGCAAAAGGGAGAGGTGGAAAACATATCCACTGAATCCAAAACCTGAATGAAAATATTTTTCAGGGCAGGATATAAATAGCAGCAAAATGGAAGTGAAAAGGGATATACCCTTCAGTGCTTAAGTAAGCCGAGCCATGGGTAAATAACTGCATTCAGCAGCTATCTGTATTTCCTCCAAGTTTTAATCTCTCCCAACTCTAAATTCAAACGCAATGCTTTTCTGATACAGTCTGTACTTTAAGTGCCAGTTTTCTTCCTAATTTAGGAGAAGTTTGAACTAGACATAATTTACAATGTGAGAGTTGTCATACCACTTTTTATTAGTTCTATGCCTTGCCTGCTTTCTATCTCAAATGTGACTGTGCAATTAATATGTTTTTAATAAATCTGAGATCCAAGTTACTTGTGTGGGAATACACTTTGAAAGTTCCTTTTCATAATAATTTGAATATGCTTCAAATTCCCAAGACACTTGTATTTTTGTAATTTCTGATAATATCTGGTTTAGTCAGAGGGACTAAAAGCTCTTTTTAAAGAATCACTTTTTTATTAAAAGTTATGATTTTTACATTGGTAGTTGTGTTAAAAATTAAACAATCTGAATTAGAAACCTTCTGTTCTTTGGCAGAAATCAATATGCTGTATGTGACCACTGTTCATTAAAACATCAGTTTTATTTGATTACCTGTTAGCAACTGCTATCTGGAACAAATCACTAAGTGTTAATCTATGAATAGTTTTCAGTCAGTTTCTTCGACCAGATCTAGGATATTCGTCACAACTTAAGTAGATAGTGGCTGAAGCAAAACTGGCCAAACCACTGAACAGAATCTGTCAAAGTCACAGAGACCCATGGCACATGTACAGAACACAGAACCCAGGATGACTCTGCAGCTCCTGAGCACTGTATGCAGAGCCAACCAAAAGAGTGCTCTTTTCCATTCATCATTTTCATCTGGTGTGAAGCCAAGTGAGCCTTCTGCTGGGCAGTTTAAATATGGCACTGGGCTGAGTTTATTTATTTATTTTATCTTTTCCCTGAGGTTCATTATTTTCGGCTTTTTCTTTTCTTTTTTTTTTTTTTTATTTTATGGAGGAAAAAAACCCCAAAACTTTTTGAAATTATAATAAGAGAATAGAAATAGTTAATATAATATATATTATTATCTTTAAAGTAGTTACTCTGAGTACAAGACACGGACATAAGAATTTCTTTAAGCGATATTAGCACAAATCTTTCTTTTTAACAAACTAAGAGAAACTTGTGAGTTTTTTTTAAAGGAGGAAAGGTTTATTTATCTCACTGTTTGTAGAGGTTTCAGTCCATAATCAGCTGGCTCCAAGGCGGGGTGGCATATGGAAAAGGAACAACAGTTCATGGTGGCAGAAGATAGCAAAGGCAACTGGAGGGAACTTGTGAGTTTTTGACAGGACAACCCTTGCAATGCTTTATCTACATGAGGAGGAAGGCAGTCCAGGAATTCCAGATACAACACACCTCTTTTACTTATCCTCAGGGTCACTGTGAATCTGTTTACCAACTAGCTCTCACTCTGTGAGTGTACTTCTTTTCTACTTTAATAAATGTACATCCCGAATACCTTCCCCTGTGTCTTGTCCAGTTCTTTCTTCCAGACAAGAAACTGGAAAGAAATGCAGTAACATAACTTTTCCTGGATGTTCACAGAAGTTTTAGGGGTAGTGGCAAATGGGGGTGTGGAAGTAGAGCACACAGTCCCAGAAACCGTAACATAGTAAACCATAATAAAAGAAAGCTTCCCATTCCCAAAGAAAAGATTCAGTGTAGAGAAATACATAGCAATAAAAATGGAGAACACACATTAAACTGGTGTCCTAATGAACAATGCTCATAAAAATACAAGCAAATGGATCAGGCAGAGGCCCAAGGAAACAATACAGACAGGTCAACTAAATTATGATATGTCAAAACAGTGTTGTATTACCTAGCCGTTAAGTATAACAAAGTGATCTATCTGTACTTACTTGAGAAGAAATCCGCGATTCATTGTTAAGCATAAAATAAAAGCAAAAATAAAAAAGTTGAAAATCAATACTGATAGTATTAACCTATTTTTATAAAAAATGCAATAAAAGAATTTTAAATATATAGATCTATACAAGTGGGAGAACAACTGCAAAATTGTAACTACAAATTTATCAATAGGAATCAGGATGGATAGACATAGAAGAATCTTTTATGCTTTATAATGCATGCTTCTATAATGTTGGAATATATTTAATGAATGCATGTAGTATTTTATAATTAGAAAATGACTAATGAAAAAAATGAACTTTACCTGCGATGGTTTCATAGAGACCCGCTTTATAGCCTAAGTAATTGTACTCTTCAAATCTCTGAGGCCCCTCACACAGGGCTCGGCACTCCGCATCTTCATTGAAATATTCTCTTAAAGCCTTTTCAAAGTACTTGATAGCCAGTTCAAAGTCATCAGCCTCATAATGCTTCACTGCTGCACTGTAGCTCTCCTGCAAAGAAACCGAAAACAGAAAGTGCTGCATTTGCAAAGAGAAGGACATTTAGGAAGGTGAGGAATCATGGAATGAAGAAGGGCTGCCCTGGGAGGTAAACTATAACCTCCCTAGATTCAAATAACCAAAGATGAGAGAGGCTCAGGGAGCAAGTAGCCTGCTATGCTACAATCAACTCCTTCCTGAGCATACATAAGACTGTTTCCGTGGTTCTGCCTCTAAGTAGGGCCATGGAAAAAGTACAGAATAGTAGCTGTGAATGGAAATGATAGTCACCCCCAGGCTTTGCCCAATCAATTAATCACAAATAAATCCTCCCACCTAAAATCTTCTCTTGTCTTTTACGGCAGTTATGGGGGCCACACACTGAGAATAGTTATGCCACAATTTGGAAGTGCAGAAAAAAGGTCTTTCAATGTGTGACGTTAGATAATACTTTATCCTAAAAAAAGAATTCTATAGCTATACGAACATCTAATTTGAAAAATAGAAGTACAATGAACAAGGCTCTGGAAACAAAAGCTAGAATATCACAGTGATCTTAAAAATTTCACATTGGCTTCGATTCCTAGGTATAAATGCATGTGTTGGAAACAGGTACAAAGGTATAGACCTGCAGGCTGTCACACTCAGAAGGCTGAAGCAGAAGGAGCTCAGGAGTTCAAGGCCAGCCTAGCAAGACTTTTGTTGAAAAACACAGAAGTGGGAAAAGGGAGCTGAGGCATGTGGAAGGAGGCAGATGTTTGTATAATATTCCAGGTTTTATCATATACTGATTTTCTATGTTAATTTTCATTTCTTCAATGTTTAAATTCTCAAGTGAAATTTTTGCATTTTTAATTTAAAATACTAAACATTTTCTCATTGTTTTTCAACCTGATAACTACAAATTTCATCTGAGAAATATGAAAATACAGAAAGGTTACCCGAGATGGAGAGTCAACTTGAGATACACGTCCACATGAATATGTTCGAGTCAGAGGAAACTCAGGGGCCCTTGGTCCCATGTCATAGAAGACAGGGTCCCAAGAACTCACCAAGTGTGGCTTGGCCTCTCGATCTACCAACTGGTGTGATTCCACACCAGCCATGGTTCTGTAATTCTCGATGTTCTGCTGCATTTCCATGTGCTCAGGGTTGGCCATGAAAAAAGTGTGGGCTGCCTGTGCTGCCTCTTCCAGCTGGTCAAGCTATAGAGGGGAAAAAGGAGGAAAGGAAGACAAATACTTGTAAACCAATCTCAGGGAAATAAATCAGTTCAAGGTCTCATAGCATGATATATGTATGTCCCCTTTAATATATATTCAACTGCCATAGTTAAGTGCCAGGAAGTTAAAAAGCAGTATGTTAATAAACAATATGCAGATATTTTGACTTTGGTGGAAATAAATAGGCTTTGTTCTAAATTCATTGTCTTTCTCCTCTTTTCTAGGTAACAGAGTCTACATTGTTATGCTTGTTTTATGATCAATGAGATAAAAAACTGCCAGGACTGGGTGCCGCCAGTCCATTTTTCAACATTTTTGTTTTGTTCTTTTTAAATTTCTTTCACTGTTTAGTTATTAGTCCTGAACATTAGAGTAAAAACACTTTTCTCATTTTTCAAAGGATGGCATAGGGTAAATTCTTCTTCCCAAGCTTTCAAAGGTAAAGGATCAAAATTTAAAAGGAGTAAATTATTCTAATACATGAGAGATGCTAAAACTTTAACTTTGATTTTTACTGATAGAAAAGGAAGAACTTTTAACAATCACTACAGAGGCAATGTCGTTTTCTTCCTTAACACCTCCTCCGTGGAAAAAGCAAGATTACTGATATAAAATCGAATTCACTTGATTTAAGATATTTTGACTTAGGCATTAGTTAGGGAGAATGTCCACAGAAAAATCTACTTACTTCATATCAGAAAAACGAATATTCATACTAGTTGTCTTTTTCATTGTGAAATCCAATGTCTGTTTACTGTATTTCAAAGTGTCAAGAAGTGAAAGTCATTGTTACAAAGAATAAATATGAAATCACAGAGTGTCATTTAGTATTCAACTGGGTTTCTTCTGACACTCTACTTAAAGATTAAAACTTAGAAACCGGGTTTCTTCTGACACTCAAAGATTAAAACTTTGAAAGAAATAGTGGGTACAGTCCACAGTGACTATAGTCAGGTAACAAGTGAATAACAAGCTCTCATCAAAGAAAACATATACTGATTTAATTTATGATCTGGTATTCTTAATTTTGTTTCAGAAGTACAATCGGATTCCTTCTTTCACTTAACTTTCATATTCCTAACTGTTATTGGGCTTCCCTTTATTAAATATTGCCTGGGGCTAATTCTTTTCATCACTGTTATCTTAGTTCTCAATATTTTTGCTCCCGAGATCATTTTGACACTCAAAAACTTAACTTTGCATCTGAATTCATTCTTAATTTTAATTATCTCTATTCATTACACATCAGTATAGATATATATTAATTACTTAGGTATTTGTGTATGGGAGTAACAATTTATACAGGTACTGAGGCAAAAAAAATGTTCTAAATTTTGTGTTAGGTGAAATTTACTGGCCAAGTAAACCTAGAACAAGTTATTTAAATACTTGTGCTTCAATTCCCCCTTAAGAAAAATAAATGTTCATAAAAATGGCACACTACCATCTACTAAATAGGATTTTGGAAGGATTTAATCGTGTGGTATACATAAATATGTTTCGGAAATCACTAAAGCAATAAAAAGTGAATGATATATGATTTATAAATGTAACTCAGCTTCAAGGATATGGATATGGTTCCTTAATGAGGCGTAGAATCTGAATCTCCAAAGGCTACATCGTTTATGAGGATCAGAGGGATTTATAGGGATTTACGATTAGTAAAAGCTGTCTCCTGTAGTAGTAAACTATAAAGAAGGAGTAAAGCAGATTTGCACTGACAAACACTGATTCTATCACAGCAGACATTAAAGTTGAGGGAACATAAATAAATATTTTGTTAATCTTTTTCCTACTTTCGTGCCTTGGCTTGATCTGCTCCACTGATGTATAGAGCCTCTGCCCTGTGTCTTTACATTGAGTTCACTCACTGGATGTGGTTGGAAAACACCAAGGCTTTTCTACTGAAATGTAACACACCTTTCCAGGCCAAATTACACTTTTCTAAACCTGCAGTTATGGTTAAACACTGCAATATCATCTTATTTTTATTCCTTCCCTTGTTTTTAATCCACTTTACACTAATTTTGTTGCAGTATATTTGCATCTACTAGAGAGGTTTCTGTAGCTAGGACCCATATGAAATTACATTTTACTTTTCCATTACTTTAAATATATAGTAATAGTGTCTATGAAAAGAGAAAAAACTATACATATCCTTAACATACAAATCAAAATGTAGTTACATGTAAATGTACCCCAAAAACTACACAGTACTAAAAGAAATGAATTCAATAAAAATACATCTGAAGTTATCTTTCACAATGAGAGTTTCAACACAGAAAAATGTGACTCGATGACTCTTGAAAATATTGAAAATCTCAATAAATTTGTTCCTTTTCTTAAATTTCACTACATTGGCTTATTTATTTGGTGCCTTGCTATTTTATAACCTAGAATGGAACATAATATCATTCTCCCCTATAAACAAAAAAGGTGATTCCATGACTGATCATTGAACCATAAAACTTTCTCATGAACTGGACCTTTCTCATGAACTGTAAGCCAGACTCTATAAAATAAATCATTATTTTAACTAAAATCTTGATATATTTGCACTTCATTTTTGAATCAAATTCATAAATTGGCCATGGCTAGAAAAGACAGAGCCAACATACATATATTACATATAATGTCATGTTATTGGGTGGATATCATTACAAAGCCTTGTAAGCAGCAGGTTTCAGGTAGAGGAAGCAACTACTGACCACGCCGCTGACATAAATCAAAAGAAAACTGCATGTGAAGGATCCAATCTGGGTCTCCTTTAAAATATAATTAAAACAAACCACAGGAGAGGAAAAGTCTGTGCATTAAAAAAGTAAAATTTGAAATAAAGAACCACTGAGGAAAGGGGAATTATTTGACAAGGTATGATATCAATCTTCTAAAGGAAACCACCATTCCCTATAAAGTGAGAAAGAGTGGTAAGAAGAGTCTTTAAGAGATTCTAGATCATTTCAATTCAGGCTACGAGGAACTAAGGCAAACATTTCCTGCTGGTTGTGCAGAAGGAGGACTGTACGTGGCAATCATGCCGCATGGAGAAAGAAATGAGCCCGACTAATTCAGCTCCCGGGTATGTCATGAATTGGTGAGGGAATGAGGCTGTCTCATTTTCCATAGCTAGTAATAAAGGAGGTATTTCTAAAGCACGCATTGGCAATAAAAATATCTTCAGTAGCTATCCTTTGACCACAAAAGAGATTCCAGACTCTGTGCCATGACATTTAATAATTCCAGGAGTTGGCTTCAGTCTTTTTAATGTCACTTCCTTCTATCTGCCATTAAGCAACATTTTCTCAGATGAACTGAATATCCAAAAAGTTGCATCACCCTATTCAAGAAAATACACATAACTCCACCACTCCAGTCATATTCAAATTTCTTCCTTCCTTCCTTCATTCATTAATTCATTCAGCAAATATTTATGTCACATCAACTCTGCACCATTCACTAGTAGTCAATGAGAATACCTATGTGCCCAAAGCAGAAATAAACCCTGATTTCTATCTGCTTATGCTTTCATTGAAGGAAATAAGTAAATAAGCAATATAAGTAACTTCAGATGGTGCTAAGTGCTATAAAGTATGAATGAAAAAGTTGCGAGCATTGGCTAGAGCTGAGGTAGAAGAACCATTCAAAATAAATTAGTAAGGAAAGATCTCTGCAATTAAGTTTTGATCTGAGACACTACGTTGAGAATCCAAGCATGAGCTTAACAGAAGAAAGAGTATTTAAGTAATAAACTGAAAAATTTCTAAAGTTGAAAAAGCCTTGCTGTATTTTATAAGCAGAGCACAGACTAAGGAGGGAGATTTGAGAAACCAAGGACAGATTGCCTGCAGGCTATGATAAAGTCTGAATGACCTTTCCAAGTGCAAGAGAAAACTATTAAAGAAATTTAAGAAGGGCTGTACCAAGATCATATACACATTTCAAAATGATAATTGAAACTGCTTTATAGAAAACAGACTTTGAAGCAGGCAGGAAAACATTGCAGTCATTTGGGTCAAAGTCAATGCTTTTATTTTGCAAAATAGGAGAGCATAGGTCATCTTTTTCCTTTCCTCTCTACTCCTTGCTTGCCATTTCTTTCTGCTCCTCTCCATTTGGTCCATTCTTGCTATGCTAATGCTTCGCAGCTCAGAAGGCAGATACACAACACAAAAAGATGTAGAAAAAGTATAAATTCATTGTCTTTGAAACTAGGGAAAACAAAGCTCAACTACTTTGAATATAAATTATGTGCACTAAAGAAAAAGATCCATTTCTAAAGCACATTAAAAACACATAAAGTATACTCTCCATGTACTTCAGATATTAGATCTCACATTTTTCTCAGGAAGACTGAACAAGGAGAATAAAACATCAAATCATAAAGAAGGAATTTCCATTCTTCTACTCAAAAGCCAACATTTACAATAAAGACAGGAATTCTTTCCTCCATTCACCATCCTAACTTTGGGAATTGATCCAGTTTCATGCACTTCTTTTTGATGAGATACTGTGTTTTGCCATGGTCTTTTACTTACATCCCACAATTAGCAACTCTGTAGATTCTTCACCCCATATGGAGTTGTCTACTTAAGGACAAGCATGTAGGGCTGGGGACGTAGCCCAGTAGCACAAACACCTGCCTGGCAAGTACATGGTCCCGAGTTCAATTCCTGGTACCAACAAAACAAAACAAGTACTCAAACTCTAATGACAAGCCTGTAAACAGAACCTCAAGACACAAAGTCTTTAAACCAGAGAGGAATCTTGAGTTCTCTCTAGCACAATTTGTACAGTAGCTAGGGATAAGGAAACCAATAGGTTACACCTATATATCATTGATGACATATTCTTTCCAGGGATTTTATCATTTGACAGTCACCAAAATTACCTTGAAGTTTGGCTAAGCTAAGGTGATTTTCATTTCCAAAATCAAGTAAGTAAATGTATGAGTTTTTAAAACTTTAGAAACACATTAAAAGAAT